TGCCTTAAGAAATTTAAGGGTGTTGGGGTCCATCGGGCCGAGAACCTCGATATATATTGGCAAGAGTTCCATCGAGGGGAGGGCGTTCCCATATTTTTTCATTTTCTCGTCCGCTGCCCTGGCCGCGGCCAAACCGCATTCTTTACTTGTCAGGTTTACATATCGTTCAGCAAGGGTGTGAGGAACCGTAACATCCCACGCCAAACATCTACCGGCTCTCCAAGGTATTGGTGTGCATCCGTCCGGGCGCCTACCATCATGCGCAGAAATGCCGGATGGTTCCTTGAGAACTGGGATTGAAAGCCTTGGAGAAGAGCCGACAAATGTAGTCGTTTAAATGTATGTATGTATGTATGTATGTATGTACGTACGTACGTACTTACGTACGTCCTGCACAGAAATGTACTTCGTTGCTCCCTCCATAATAAAAAAAAGCATTACATTTTTGTAATAGTAATGATATGTATTGTTTGTCACCCGGATTACCGAAAACCTCGATAACTTTAGCTATTAATTGATTAATGAATGCTTGTGTTTGCCCATCAGTTGCACCAAATACTTCAATGCATACTAGTGTAAATATTTTGGTGTTGTCATTAAAAAGGTGGCATATTTTATTGTTTTTTTGGTCTGACTTATTTATCGCATCGGTCCCAGCCTCCATTGACGTAAAATCTATATATCCTTTGGCCATTGTGTAGAGAAAAGTTACGTCCAACGCCAAAGAGCGTCCTTGGGCCCAAAAAACCATTGTGTATCCATCAGGTCTGTAGTTACCATTTTCAAGCAGCACTTTGAAAAACTCTGACTAAAATTGTTCTGCAGAGTGTTGTGCTTGCCTTCCTGATCTTAATCTGCAAGACATTTCATGGTAACTCAGCGGTTCCACCTTTGCACCACTACACTTGGAATCATACTTCGTAACCCCAATCTAACACGAACGCCAACATCATCCATTCTGGTACCAGAGACGATGCTCGGGACCACTCTCAACCATTTAGAGCCCAATTCACTCCGAACTGCCATGATCCTGGCTTTATCATGTATTGAGTTGGTAAACGAGGATAACCGATCAATCAATGATTCAATGAAGATGAGTGCCTTTCCTTTTGCAACGCGATATTTATGGCAACAAATTTGAATTCTTAACTTAGGTGACCAAAAGTTGTTCTAAGTTTCACCATGAAAAATAACTGAACCTAAAAATTCTATATCGTTTTTTAAAAGTTTTTTGATTTTATGTGGTTTATTAATTTGTGTGAGTTAGTAAATATTTCCCACTTATTATAGTTTAATTTGAGTCCGAAACTGGCTCTTTTATTTGATATATGGTTCATATCATCCAGAACCGAATTAATGTCCCTTCAATAAAATGTCATCTAGATATGCAATTACAAAAACCTGATTTCAAAAACTTTGCCAGATTATCAAATGCTAGAGAAACAACAATGTGCCCAAGGGGTCACCATGCTGAACACCTCTGCTTATTAGATGCCAACACCAAAAAAATATAACACAGAAGTGGAGTCATAGGCCAAGTGGAGTCATCTCAAAGAGAGATGACTTTACGCACTTCAATAGATCATCACGTCATCACGTTTGAAAAATCCAATTTCAATAAACATTTGTCCTCCCTCACATGGTCCGTAAACCTTCGTACAGAAAGCATCGCCTCTTCAGCTCCACCGCTCACCCCTATCCTTGCTGTGGCTGAAGGATTGGCAATTAATTGTTGCTAGTGCATGTTTCGCAGCGAGACGTCTCTATAGGCAGCCGACAGCAATTGGTCTTATACCGCCATCTTTTTTTAAAAGCGCTACCAGTCTTTCCCCGAAAAGGTAAGGTGCAACCTCGGCAGGGCAGTCGCCATTAAACAGTAAGTTAGTGAAGGTGGTAATGCCGTTGATGAGGTCAAAAGAAACGGTCTTTGAAAAAGTCACATGTATATCTGTGACCTCGTAATCCTATTTTATTCTCCAGTTGAAAAAATTTGGTGAACGGTGTTTCTTTTTTCTTGTTAATCAATTTTTATGCCTGTATCAGATTTCCTCTGCATCTTCTTGTTTTTAGTATTGTCAATCCACATTCTTTCAATCTATTTTTGTATTCAAAATATTTAAGTCCTCTGACCATCTTTGTTGTTCTCCGTTGTACTTTCTCCAAATTGTCCTTGTCCTTTTGCAGATCTGGATTTCAAACTTGAGTACAGAATTCAAGATGAGGTCGAACTAAGGTTTTTTACAGATTTAGAATGATCGACTTTATTATTTATTCAACAAGTTTTCAATATTTAATGTAGTCAATAAACATTAAGACCAACAAATTTGAAAAATTCAACAAAAGAATAAAAAATTATCAACTTCTCAGTTAGTTTACATTCAAATATTTTAAAATCTCAAAACTACGATCACGTACTATTTGCGCACGCTGTTTAAAGTTTGTGAGATAAATTATTCATGAGCTGAAGCATCTATTAGCACCATATAGATTTGCTAAAAACGTGATAATAAAACATGATAGAAATGATCTAAACAGCACAAACAATCACACAGTGTTGCAATTTTATATCAGTGTTATAATGGCAATATATTTAAATGATGAATGGATGATGAAGATTGTTTTCCATCTTACGTATTATTTTTTTGGATACAAACTTTTGAATATTCTAAAAATTGCTCTAAAATCGAATAAGTGGCTACATTTGATTCAATCAAAATCGAAATCAAATTAATTTTTTATTTTTTAAATAATTTTTTTAATTAAAATTTGTATACATCAATCTACTGAACTAAGTGTTCTTTTTCAAATTTCAAATTTCAACTATTTTTTTCAAAATAAACATTAAATTTTTTACTAATTTGAGTTTGTGTGAAGTGTTTAAATTTGTAAACATTTTCAAATGACAAATTTTACTAAATTTTTCTCGGTAAAATTTTTTCAACACCATTGTTCCCGTTAACTAACATTTACAGCTATCAAAGTAGTGTGCTGTAAAAGTGGTACGTTTTCAAAAAGGTTACTAGGTTGAGAGTAACTGACTGCATCAAATCAAGGTTTCTGCAAATTTTTAGTTTCAACTGTATAGCTTCAACCATTAAACTATTATTTGATCTTTGCATACAATATGTGATCGATAGCTTAAGCCATTAATCAATAAGCAAGAGAGGAACATATTTTTGGAGAAAGAACATCTATTGGGCTGTCTAAATTCTGATCCAACAGTTTCAAATATTGCCGATTTCTTAAAAGCTAAAACGATCATGTCTTCATCTTTTCAGGCCACAAATTTTTATATTAGCCCACACTTTTCTTAATGGCATGTTTAATAGATGTCAATAACATAATAATGAATCTAATGCTAACAAAATAATGGTACTAACAATGAAGTAATAGTAATTTTACATTCTAACCTAAAAAAATTAAACGTAATATAATAAAGTTCTTAATATAATTATTATAATAATGTTACTAGTATAACACTGTTACTAATATATTGTTGTTACTGATATAATGATGTTTCTAGGGTAATAAGAAAAATATCTCAACAGCAGATTATAATTGAGAAAGACGAAGAAGAATGCAATGGATAGGTCATGTGCTAGCAATGGACCAAAGCGGATTCGTAAAATAATTTTCCAATATCAATCGCAAAGTAAAATGGCTCCTAGACAACACGGAAAAGACGACGGAATGACCTGGGTAAGGATTTAGAAAAAAGCAGAATTAGCAATTCATGGGATAACGACAGGAAGAACAAGTATGTCGCTTGAAAAGCGGCTGCTGTCCGCGAAATGTAGAGGGATGTCATATGGAAGTCGACAGCTGGAACCAGCTCAGGGATGATTACATGACATGACTAACATAATAAAGACACCTATATAACGATGATACTAACATAATAAAGATACCTAAATAATAATGATATTAACATAATAATGATACTAAAATAATAATGATCTCAACATATTAATATTATTAACATAATAATAATAATAATAATAATGGCGAAATGAGGACAGTGACAAAATAATAACGATTTAAACATAACAACACCTTAAAATATTAGTGACATAAATATATAGTGGCAATTAACATAAAACTAATACTAACATTATGGTAATTCTAACATGCATAATAATTATAGAATCATATGGATACTAAAACTAAAATAAAATTATAATGGATAATCCGGCTAAACGTAAGCACTGAAAAGATCCTGCATACGCGATTTCAACTTAATGTACTTCCACAGAAATCTCCATATTTAAAAAAAATAATACCTGGAGCAAATAGATAGATCAGCTGGCCACACAGTACCACAACTTGGCGAGTGGCCATCCTTATGCTGCGTGTGAGGCAACTTCAACCACGACGTCACGTTGGAAATTTTTTCCTTGCAATAAGGTTGCTGTCGTTGGGTTTCAATTTGATCAAATTTGTTGTACGGCTGACCGGTGGTTAGAGAGGAACACGTGACCGGGTGTTGCAAAATGTTTGGTGGTGATGGTATAATTATGTTGCTGTTGTCTTCTGTGCTGATATCGTTGTCGTTATTAGCGCTGTTAATGTTGTTGTTGTTGTTGCTATCGTAGTAATTGTTGTTGATTTCTGTTTGCAAGTGTTGGAGACATTTGAGTTTATCTTCTCCGATGACTTCTGAGTTGCACATTCGATGAATGGTTGTTGAAGAATTTAAATGCGTTGAATCAAGCAACTGATTGTTAATTAACGAGGTCGTTACCAAATTGTTGCTGTGGAAATTATGATTGTTGTAATTAACCGAATTTTTGCTGTTATTATTGTTGTTGTCAAACTCAGGTAAAACCGCAAGGTTTTGAACTGCAGGATAATTATCAGCGTCAGAGCAATGTTTTTGATAATTTCCATTGGCGTCTTTGCAATAGTTTGGCAACTCTTCCTCAAACTCGAGTTCATCATCTTCGTCATCATCCGTTGACCCATCGCAGAAAATATCCAGTGACGTAACAATTGGCGCTCTTGACTGAGGTAGATCAAGTTGCTGTGGACGGGGATGGTGGAAACTTTGCAGAGGCAGAAGCGAAGATGGTCGAAGCGGTGAGGCAGTCGATACTTGTTCAACCAGCGTCGGAGTTTTAGCGTCAATGTAAGGTGGCGTTGTGTAGTTGTGGCGTTTGAAGTTTTTGCGGGAACTAGGTAAGCTAACTTCATCGTCGCTTCGAAAAGAAGGCGTTCGAACATTTTTTGATGATGTCGCAAGTGGTCGCCATAGCAAAACTTTGGATTGATTGCCTTTGCGAAAATTAGATGGCGATGCATCGTCATCTTCGGGACTGAAGAAAACGTCTAAAGCGTGAATGCCGATGTGAGAAAATCTGGCGTGTCTTTCGTCGTAGGAAGGACTTCCAGGACTGAGACCAGACCCGCTGGACAAGTCGAGTTTGAGGTGCGTTCTCTTGCGCGGCGTGTTGTATGTGAGATCTGAGGATTCTGCTTCCGATAATGTTTCGTCGTTCAATTGTTTCGAAGCGGCTTGGTCGTCATTTATTGGCAAGGCGTTTAATGTTAGGATCGGAGGTTGTTGCGTGTTTTGAAAATGTTCGTTAGCACTTTCATCAACATTTTGCTGCAGGCTTGATAGATAGGCCTCCGAAAATTTTGTTGGCATTTGTGCGGAGTTCAATGTTGAGCGTTGCGTCGGTAAGTTAGGTGACGACGACGTGTAAAGGTGAGTACTGTTGACGTTTGTGTGGCTGTCGTTGTTCGAATTGCTCAATCGTAATCGGTCCAATGTGTTGAATTTTAAATTTTCTTTGGCTTGCATGATTTCAGCAAAATTTGAAAGTTTCTCAGCTTCGACTCTGGTTAGTTCTACGTTTTGTTTAAAAAATTGCATAATAGAAGAAGGTTTATAATCAAAAGTTTTTTTGTGTTGGTTTTCCGTGGTTATTTTTAGATTGGAGTCACGTGACATAGATGGAGTAAGATTTTTGTTGATGTCATACGCATTTTTATCGTCGTTTTCATCATCTATTTCGTCTCCCAACATCTGCGGAGAATCATAAGCACTCTCCACGACTTCCGCCAGAGTTCCTAAAAATCGTTCTCGTTTTACATCGCGATCCATTAAATATTTTGAAGCGGAGGTTCCCGAGAATTCAAAACGTGAAACATTTTTTATTGTGGCGAGGTTCATGTCGCTACTGCTACCACTGCTGCTATCACTGAAACTATCAATTAAACTGTCCTCGGGGGTGGCTTTCGGAGCTACGACATCAGCGTCCCTTTTTAACAAACTGTTCATTCCTGAGATTGATAATCTGTGATTCATCTGCTCCACAGGCATGGACGATCTTCTACTCTGACTGAGTGAAATTCCTGAAACGAGAGAAGATCGATTAGCTCTACTCGAGCCAGTTTTAATGCAGTACTGCAATGAAGATGGTCTTCTGGCACGTGAAACAATCGTACCAGAGATGTGATGTCTTGTTAATGAAGTTGTTGTGGACGATGGGGCGGCTTGTGAAGATGTCGTTGAGGTTGTTGATGTGGCTGTTGATGACTGCGCACTGGTAACACTACCAACCAGATTGTGTTGATTGCGAAATAAAGATGAAATATTATGGTGCTTTGATGGGTCTTCTTTTGGGGATAATCTTGGAGGCTGCGACGAAAAGATCTTAACGTAATTCCAAATTATTTATTCATCATTTTAATTACATAATTTATAAATGGGCTTTATTTGTTCATTTTTTAACAAAACTAATCAATTCAATAAATAAGATTTCATAAAAAAATTGAACTAACCACGCCACTGCTGGCAGCTATGCCGTGTTGTGCGTTATTTGAAGTGCTTGTCATTTGTTGGTCTTTTGATGTTCCCACTATCAGGACCTTTTTATGTTTCGAAGTTGGAATGGAGGTAGATGTTCCGGGATTAGTGACGGACAAATCCAAAGTAAGACTTAGCTTCGGTGGTGGAACTCTTCTCTGACTTAATGGAATTCTAGAATAATCCGTGAAGCCCGGCAAAAATGTTCGTTGTTGCGATAATGTCGTTGAACTGTCGTTGTTACTTTGTGTTGTTGAGGTCATAGGCATTTGATAAATATTATTAACATTGTTGTTGTTGTTGTTGTTGAAAATTTGAGGAGGTGCCGGTATTGGAAAGTTAGAGGTTGAAATTATTTGTTTTTCTTTTGATCCGGATCCTGGAGTGTGCTGTGTGGAAGGATCACCACAAGGAGAACTGGGTCTACTCGAGAATGCGGACAACGGTTCTTCAATGTGAGATTCTGTGGCAAGACTTTTCAGACGTTGGTGGTCTCCAGCAAAAGTCACTGTGGACTGAACAAGACTGTGTGAAGGGTGGCTTGGAAGATGGCCATGTCCCGGGTTGCCTGGTTTAACGTCGACATTACAAATGCTCATTAAACATTCTAATCCACAGGATCGATAAAAGAAATATCAGATTCAAAACTAATAGCAAGTAGCAATATTTTACCTCTGTCCGTTGCTCTATTTTTAGATTTCGCTGTGAAAAGATATAAATAAAATTAGTTGTAAAATTGTAAAATATATACATATATACGTGTGTGTGTGTGTGTGTGTGTGTGTGCACCTTTTTTCATGTATCTTTTTTCATGTTTGTATATAGCTATATTTATTTAAAATAAAAAATTTATTCACATAAAATATTGAGCAAATTTAATCAAATTTAAAAAAATGAAATGAGTGTTCGGATGTATTTAAAAATTGAAAAGAGCAGGTATCAAGCAGTTTGATCGATGCTCAGAATCAATAAACAACGTCATTCATCTGATGCTTTAAGTTTTTTTCATCTAATTTAATGCTAGAAGATCTAACTGTTGTTTCAACTCGAAAAAATATCATTAACCAAATCAAGTTTTTGAAATTTATAAAACTTATAATACAATCTCATCATGAAAATTGTATGCAAACGTATGAGCAATTTCAATAAAATGATAATATTCTGGAAGTCAAATTTTGAGATGTTTATCGCTTTGTTATTTCTGTTAACTGCTATCTACCTATTAGTTCAAATTTATATATTTAGCCCTATATACTGAAATAACTTTTTTATTGTTTACAATTAGAAAATTGTCATCGCCCAAGAATACAAAATAATTTGTTAAAGTTGAAAAAGTCAAACAATTAATTCATTAAAGATGGGTCTCATTTTAACGCAATTGAGCTTACCCAGACATTTAGAGAAATAATTTTAGTGTGATCATAAAAAAGGATCAGTTATTGATAAAAATATGTAACTGGCTGCTGTAAAATTTGCAATCATCAATTCTTATCTGCTGATTAGCATTCTTCCGTTTGGTTGAATAGTTTAATACTTTTCAAATAAGCCTAATAAGTTCATCTGTCAGTTAAGAAAGAAATTATTTATTCGACGTTTTGACATTAAATTTCTTCAACTGAAAATAATGAAAAATTAAATTGAAAGAAGACTTGCTTCGAAATAAAGGTATAAAGTTCTAACATAAAAATCAAACAGTTTATTGAATGAGTTTTCAATATTAAAAATTTTATGAAAAAGACATTAATAAAGAATTTCACAGTTTCAGATTTTTTTAAGTATAAAAATGCAATTTGAAGAGAAAAGAAAATATAAAATGTCTTGAAAGAAATAACGCGGACTGTATCTCAATAGATAAACGATTGCACGTGAACACTTACTTGCCGTGCACATTGTGCCTTCATTAAACTCTCATGAATTACTTGCACATATGCCAAATTCACGGGAAATTATAAAGAATCATTTCTTATAAATGCTTGCTTGCTGTCTGTCCAATGTTCACAGATACGAATGCATACGCATTCAGTTGTGCAGGCAATGCGAGGTATAAAGACGTGTATGTATGTACAAGTATGTGCATATATACATAGGTTATATATATATATACAGATATATATTTATTGTTTTATTGTGTGTGTGGGACATTTAGAAAAGAAACACACCTTAGGGATTGAAGAGTAATTATAAAAACTGAACATATTTAACTAATTTGGTGAGTTGGCTCAGACGACTATTGAGCTATGCCTGTGTAGTTATTGCATGCGGACCTGTTTTGAACACTGTTTTCCCGAAACTAAAAAACCACCAAATATCTTGCGCATACGAAACAAATCTTATGTAGGCAGGTTGTACGAGTTGCCGATGTTGCAGACGATGTGGCACATCAGGCTTTACTACAACCAAGCAGTAAACAGCTCCATGCTTGCTATTGAACCGAAAATATACTTTTAGTTTTGTTTAAACAAATCAAGACAGACTCATTTGACAATGTTAATATTTGAAAACTGTCAAAATTTAATTTGAGTTTAAAATTGTACTAATTACTGATCAATTTTTACACAAAAACTTTGATTAAATGTCACGACAAAAATTTTGGCCTTCAAGTTTTAATAGGCAGATAGCGAAATTTGTGTTTTTGTTTCTTTTTTGTTTATTTTGCGTTTTTAACTACAGCATTTATATTTTTATCTGAAACACAAAGATAGACTTACACAAATGCACAAAGGGACTAATTTTCGCCAATGAAACATTAGTAACATCGACAAACGTTGTGCTCCCATGAACTAAAAATTTTATATTTTCCAAAGAATTCTTACTAAAATAACATTTTTTAATATGACTCGATATAACACTAAAAACAAGTGGGTGAATGTTTACCATTTTTTGATGCAGCGCTAGATTTCTTGGCAGTGGTTGCTTTCTTGTTGATGAGCGTTTTGCCTCTTGAGCTTTCTGGTGTTGTCGATTTGTCGGCTGATCTTGCTCGCACTGTTCTCGTCTGCCATGATCGCTTCGTGTGGTCCACGTCGCACAAACCTACGGTCAGTTTCAATTTTCATAAATTTCAAGTAATAAATATCTAAATTTTTGTTGATTGTTAATATTGAAGTTTATCGGTTTTTTCGACTCAACATATCTAAAAGTTTTAAATTCAGTTTCTTGCCAATTATGTTATTAAGTTGTTCAAACTTTAAAAATTTTATGTTACAAAACTTTTAAAGAATAATCGTGGACATAAACTGAACAATTTGAATGATGATTCACCCAATTTTTTCTGCTTTTGATCCATCATCATGTTGTACATGGCCGATAGTTCATCTGCCCTGTTCTCCTTCACAGTTTCATTGACAACACCCTTCTTCATGTCCATCATGATTGACAATGCACCAACAATCTTTGAGAAAATTCATTCGAAATCGTTTTAAATAAAATTGTTGAGTACAAACTATAGCCGAAAAATAAATCACCAAATTGTATCAAATTTTCAAAATAGACAGAAGGCTGTTTAAAAATAGGACAGGAAACAAATAAACACATTGGCAATATAAAGCTTTCAACTTGTTGGATAGAAAAAGTTGTTATGGTAGGAACCTCGTTGCGTAGGGCTTTGTTTCTCGGAGGAGGGTTGTACGTGAAGAAGGGAGTCTTTCCATTTTTTGTAAGCCACTGATGAGTGAAGATTTCTTGCAGAGGAATTCTCAATTCAGGGTTGGGCTCGATCAGTTGATGCAGTAAGTTTCGACAATCTTTTATTATACATGGTTCACGTTTTGTGTTTATTAGATTTTTGAAACAAGTACCAACTTAATTTATTCAAAGTTATAACCTAATATATATAATATATAAAAATATTAAAACCTAAATGTTTAATAGTAGGAATAGTCGAAAATGTTTTAAATATGGTCTAGCGCTGGTATATTCGAAAGTTAAACTAAACATATAAGAACGAATTCAGATGTGAATATTTTTCTAGAAATCAAAAGTATCAGGAACTCTTAGCGCCTTCTAAATGTTCCGTGCATTGGAATGCAACCAGCTTAGCATTAAAAAAATGTTTTTGAGACATTTTAATCACGGTGCAAATGAATTTAAATGTAAGTTGCTGTTATTATTTTCATCATTAACAAACAACTAAACTAATTTTATAACATCAAAATCATCAATGTCAACGTCATCATCACTAAATATTATGTAATGTTATTACATCATCGTCGTCGTCATCATCATATCATCAACATGGTGATTATTAGTTCTACCTGCAGTGAGCATTTGCATTTCTCTATCGTGGATTGGTGACAGTCCTTCAAATGAAAATTATGTCAACGAATATTTTAATTCATAATTCACAATAAAAAATTGATTTTACAGAGTTCAAAGCATGACACAATCCTAATTTTCTTTAAAGCATCAGATAAATATTTTTTTCTTTTTTATATTTAAAATGCTTTTACATGCAATTTTGTATTTTATGATGAAATTAGCTCAGCATTGTATTTTGCTAGACATGAAACGATCATAAGGTTAGAATTGATGCACCTTGAGAAACAATAATTTTTCTGGAAGTATATTGAAGAATTAGTTACAAATTAATTTTCAATTTGAAGTTTGTTGAACAGCCTTCATCGAAGAATAAAACTTTATTGTTCCACTTCACATTGATCTCACATTGATTTTATGAATCTGAACTAGAGAAAAAAGACTACATAACAGAATTGACGTGAAAACATTTTGCAACAACTTTAATTAAAGCTGATCAACTGATTAATTTTGTTTATATTAAGGTGTTGTTGGGTTAAGCTAGAATACAATATTGACGACGTTTTGTTGACTACTTGATTGCTAATGCAAATCATTTCAGTTTTAATAAGGTGTAATATTTTGCTCTCAGCTCAAAAAATTTATATTTTGACTCGAATTCTTAATTTTACAATTTAAGAAATTGAGTTTTTCATGTAATTTAATACTTACAGGGAAAAAATCACTTTTCAGTAAGAAATTTGGATGGAAAAAAGTTTAACAAAAATTAAATATAACAAATGATAACGGTGTTTAAAAAAACCACACAAAAATATTTGCGACCTTTTTGAATTTGTTGAAGCATTCGCTGGCGATGGTACTCATCTCGAAATTGCGTTGAGAATGGAAGTCGGCCGAGGATCATGGCGTACATGATGATACCTCTGTAGGTCAGTGGTGGTGGGTTTTTACATTCAAACAAGCACACCAACGTACAACCATCCAGACATGTAAACATATAATGATGCAAATATTTTATCATTCAAATAAACAAATGTTTTTAAAATTATATTATTATTTTGTTAGTACATGTACTTTGGTTGAATTGAAGAGGTAAAAATTAAAATAAAAAAGTTATTCATCGATTTGATCAACGTTAAACAATGGTGCTTTCAACATTTAAATCAGACAACCTAAATTAATATTTTAATTGACAAATCAAATAGTTTATAAGTAAGTAGTTATTTAAGGCAGTGTAATAAGATTTTATGGCACAACACGATCCAAGAGGACTGCCCTGTTTATTAAACTAATTTCCAATCATCCTCACAATCATGCCAAGAACGATTAAAAAGGTATTGTGTTTAATTTAAAAATTACACACAAAAATTTAATTAACAAATTTTGTCTGTTGAAATAATTTAAAGTGAAACAATCTGCTACAATTGGTGTGTTTAAACATAAAAACAAAGAACCGTTCTTGACTTTTTTACTTTTACGTTCTTACGTTCTTAAAGAACGTAAAAAGGTTAAGAACTCAAAAAACGATGTATCTCTATCTTCATGACGATAATTTTTTATTTCGAGATTCCAACTTTAAACTATTATGAAAATTTTGTCTTTTACTGCAATTTTATTGAATAATAAAACTTTCCATAATAAAGTTTAAAAGTTAGTAACATCAAAGTTATCATCTTCAAAAAGTGGCGGTTGCCTGGGGCGCCATTTTAAGAGGGCGCATTTTCAAGAACTCCTATTTTGAAAATATTATAATTGAGTTAAAATAAGTTGAAATCTCTGAAATATTAGTATATAGTAGTAAAAAGATTTTTAATTTTGCTTAATTAAGAATAGCTATTTTCCCGAGATTGTTCAGCAAAATGAAATTATTCTTTGAAAATAAAATATAAATTAAAGAGTTTGCTAGTATATTTGTTTTTTATAACTTGAAAAATATTTTTGTAGTTCTACGCCGCTGTTTTCAAAGTAAAACAAAACTTAAATTAATAAACTTTCAACGATAATTATTTATTTCTCTTTTTAATAATATTTTAAAATAATAACTTTTAACCACTTGAAATGAAATTCGAAATATATATATATAGAACTCAATTTTATTTAAATGCTTCTTATTTTACAGAACGGGGAAACGTGCACAGAAGAAAGAACAAACAACATTAATCAAAATGAAATGAAATAGAAGGTGACGACATGAACTTCGCAACAATAATTACAACAATACAACAACAACAACAACAACAACAACTATGACATCAATTACAACAACAACAATAATGTTAGCAATAACATCAAAAACGCAGCAACACAAACAATAGCAGCAACTATAACAGCAACAGGAGGAAAAAGAATGACTAACAGACTCCAGAGATCTATTTCTGGTCCGTACGTTTTGTTTGGGAGGAAGAGTTCAGGTGCGGCATATTCAGGTGATCCACAATGAGTTTTTAATGGGTCATCTGATTTGTAAGTGTTGCTCAACCCGAAATCTGATTAGGCATGAAAAAAAGATTTCAATAGTAGATTCTACTAATAGGGCAATTTATTATTAGCTTTTTATTTATTCAACATTGACGTAACAAAATTTAAAAATTGAAATACTTGTACATTTATTGATTAACAAGCCATTTATAACTAACACGTTGAAAACAGCAAGTAGCAAAAAGTTTATACAAAAAATTATTAACTTCACCAATTCTCAATCAAATTTAAAAAAAATAAGTTACTAACGCTAACCAACAAAACAGCCTTCTAACAAACACGTGAATATATACACCTACAAACACAACATACAAGTATAACAACCAACTTGGTAAACAACCAACAAATCAATGAAACATATCAATCCAAGATATACAAAATCAAACATGTACATAACCAAGTACAACACAAACAACAAACAAACCAGCATGAAAAATTAGCTCAACATACAATCAACACACCATTAAACATTCTAACACGCAAACAAACACACACATAATCATACAAACACGCAAACAAACACACATAATCACACTAACACACAAACAAACTAACAAACAAACACACCAATGTACGAAACAACAAACCATCACAAAACTGAAAACATTTTGTTGGACTGAAAGACAGGCTGTTAATAGTTTGGGACCTTAACCTACCAGGCATAGACTGGAACCTGCTGTTTGTTTTGCTCCGGGGAAAAACAAGTTGGAAAATGTTTTATTGAAATTTATAGACAACAATTTTCAGCATGTAAATCAATTTACAAGAATTAGATCCAGTCAAAAAGACAGCTTTCTTGACCAGGTGATGTCTGGTCCTGATTATGTTTCAACACTGTATTATAGTCATCCTATTGCTCACAGTGATTATGTTGTTTTGGATTTTTTTTTGCTTTTCCTGTTGACAAAACATTCCAACATTTTAGAAAAAATTACGAAAAAGCAAACTATAATGTGATGTGTCAGGAAATAACCTCCGAACTAGACAAAAAAATAGAAAGTCTCGTCGTAGTTGAAAAGCTTGTGCTTGTAAAAAAATTTCTAAAAATTTTTGTTTTCCTATTAGTCATGATTGAAAAATGCTATTCCGAAGGAAACACTAACTATGGATATATTATTGGAAAACTGGTGACCTAAATGCTTATCAAGAGTACAATCAATAATAAGCTATAATGTAAAATCAAGGACTAGAATTGCAGAAATACACCCACTAGAACTCATCGCATCCAACATAAAAAAAACACAAACTTTTTTGGCAACGCGTGAACAGACTAAGACGCAACTATAAAAAAAAAATTGAATCCTGCAAGTCAATGGTCAAATCTTGAGAGAAGAGACCGATAAAGTTAATGCTTTTCCTAAATTTTTGGATCAGTTTTTGTGCCCGATGTAGATGCAGAAAAATTATTTTACGTGAAGCAAAAATGTTAACCCTGAAAAACAATAAAACGTCAAAATCAGATGGAACACACCCTCGTATCCGCAAGAAATATAAAACATCATTGTCAGCATACGTGCGCAGCATGTTCAACTTCTCACTAAAATCTGAATAGGTACCAGCAGACTGGAAAATAAGCACAAAATCTGATGTAAAAACTGCAGGCCAATCTCTTTAACATATTACCTAGCAAGGTAATGTAATCAGTTGTCAAAGATTACTTGCTGGGTCATTTTCAAAGTAACAATTGTTCTTTAAAAAGCAGTTTAGATTCCTCCCAAGCAAATATACTGTTACACAACTTCTATATTTCCTAAATAATGTCACAAAAGCTATTGATCTAGACAAAAAAGTTGATGTTACATACACGGATATTGAAAAATCCTCGGAGTGCCTCAAGGCAGCGCACTCGTTGCACTCCTATTTCTCATCTACATCAATAATATTGCAGATGTTTGTGGAAACATTCTACTTTTTGCAGATGACACCAAACTCTTCAACGTAATTTAGACTGAAGAAAACTGTCGATAATTGCAAATAACCTTAGAAAATGTAAGTGATTGGTTCTTGAGACGTGGGTTAAAAGTAAATGCTTCCAAGTGTTCCGTATTAAAAGTTGGAGGTCAAAAGCAGTTCTCAACATAGGAGGAGTAAAGATGCCCATAACTTAGGCAGAAAAATTATGGATCTTGGTATACTTATAGACTCCAAGTTGATTTTCAACGATCGTGTTTCTCAGACTGCTAGAAAATCAAGTAGAAAGAATAATTGGTTTGCTAAAACGTAATTTCAAAAATGCACCTATAGCAGCTTTTTCGCTTTTTTATATATCTGTGGTTAGGTCAATTCTGGAGTATGGTATGATTGTATGGTGCCCCTTTAGAAAATACCAAATTAAACATTTAAAAAGGATTCAGAAAAGAGCATCCAGAATACCACTCTAATGCAGAGGATTAAAATACGAGAACAGGTTAAAGCTTCTCGGGTGGCCTTCACTGGTTTATTTTGTATCTGCAAATTCTTCATCTGGAAGTAAGACGTCAACCCTAAAGATGTAAAGTTAAACTGAACATTGTTAACCACACATTTTAATTATTGAATTTTTTAATCTTACAATCTGTTTGCAAGATGGTGGCAAGAAGCTTTGCCTGCGCTCCTAATTTCTTCTATTCTATTTATTCTAAAACATAAACACTAATTAACACACCTATACAAACAAACACACCTATCAACTTTATGTTCTTCTTCTTTTCGTCAAGCATGATGTTCTCCATTTTCAGATCTCTGAAATAATTTAGGAATGAATACAAATTAATCAATAAAATTATATAACTTTCAGTAATTCTTGAAATTATTTTCAACTTTTATCTTCCAATAACATCAAATTCAGTCATGAAGTCATATTGCAGCTTTTATTTGTTAATCGATTATTTTTCACCACGGCACAATTACTTTGTCACTTTTTAGCAAAATACATGAGTGTGGTGTGTTCTTTATGTTAATAATGCATGAGTCCTAACAAAAAAGATAAGGTAACAGACGGGTGATGATTTAAAAGAAGTGTGGCAAACAGACGGAGAGATGATGATTTAGAAGAAGGATGGCAAACAACAAATCCAACGAAGGTAGCATAAAATAGTTTCCAACAAAACTAATCGAATGAGGAATGTGTGCTGACTGCACTAAACATCAACTAACGTTGTATTTATCTACTGGCTCACCTGCTTCGAAGCGTACAGTAGGTACACCATTACATAATGCAAAATTATATTTTTCAACATTTTGTGTCTGTTTGTGTGTGTGTCTGTTTGTGTCTGTTTGTGTGTGTGTGTGTGCGTGTGTGTGCGTGAGTGTATGTGTGAGTATGTAGGTGCGTTGCCTATGCACACCCGAATAAGTTTACATGAAGAAATCACTATTATAAATAGTTGAAATGAAAATGCATTGAATTGCTCCCTGATAAATTAAGATTTCATGTTACATTACAAAAACTTCAATGTTATGCATGGGAGAAATAAATTCAATCTTCACCAATAGCGTTACGTGCTCATAAAAACATTTTATTTTCTTAATTGACAAAAATTTCAACGATTCATGATTAAATTTTTTAATTTTTTTTCAATTTTAAACAATTAACAACACATTTTTTTAGTTTAATTACATTCTTTTGCTACCACTTCAACATCAATACAGACAGCAATCTCTCCACGTTCTCTTCTGAACATCATCTCAATCATCATCACATCATTTCAAGCACCTCATCACATCACATCACATTCGATATCACAATTTTTCACAAAAAAAATTCATTGAAGTACATGAAAATTGAGATCGCAAACAAAAATATTGACGGTTCGTATAAGGTTCCGATGAGGCAGCCGCAACGGCACGTCGATTCGAGTTTAACGACGTTTTTTGTGTGCAGCAAAAACTGCAACCACACTTGCGACATCACTTGCGACTTCAACTTGCGACTTCAACTCCACAAACACGTACAACTTTTTATTGGAACGCCATTTTCGGTTTGCTGGTAATTATATAAAAATGGTTTTTTTTGTTTTTTTTTCAGTTTTTTTTTATAAATAATGAAAACCACTGGAAGACCACGACAACTGCAACACCCACCACATCTGCAACATCACTAAAAATGCTCGAATCCAAAATAATTATTAAATAAGTTTACATAAATATGTTCGTCATGTCTGCAGCATCAACCGCAACCAAATTCTTTCGATTCCACAAACATTTGCTACAATTTTAGTACTAACAATTACTACTTTTGACGCCAGAGCTAGTTAGTTACTATTTAAAAAAATGCCAGTATTTGCATGTTTGCATCATAATATGTAGAATTGTTTTATTTATTGAATTTAAATAGCATTAATGTTATTTATATAGCGTCATAGCAAGCGTCTCGCGCGCGTTATTATAATTACAACAAACTCACAGTTTATGTAAACACATGTGAATTAACTTTAGCATGTGATAGACAGGGGTCTCTTTGCATTCGATCCCGGCCCCTGCAACAGTAATGTTAGGCATCTTAACCACTACACCATCGCCCAGCTTGATAACTAAGAAACGTCTGAACGATATTGTTCAAAATATTGAAAGTGGTTGAAAGTTGACTAGCAGTTCATTAGTAGTAGGCAGTTGCAAAAACTAAAAATAGTTACAATTTTTTAATTTCTCACAAGTTGTTGACTCCAGAAGTTAATTAGTTTCTACATGTAGTCAAGCCATCCGCGACTGAATGGTGGAGTTTGTACAGCACCTCCTCCTCTCTTCAATCTACCAACTTTTCTGACAATCTTATTCTTCCGTAATTATTTTTAAATTTGCAGAAATAACAAACAATTCTTTTTTATTTTATTTAATATAAAATATTGCATAGGCATTAATTATTACTGTCACTATTACAACAAGCAGTACTACAACTATTACTTCTACTACAACTACTTCTACTGCAATTAGACTATTAATACAACTACCTCTTCTACTTCTACTACTACAAAAAACTTTTACTACTTTAACTGTCTTTACTACTACTATTACCACTACTACTACTACTACTACTACTACTACTACTACTACTACTGCTGCTGCTGCTGCTGCTGCTGCTGCTGTTAATACAACAACCTCTACTACCACTACTACTGGCACCCCACAACATCCCGAATACATTGTCGGTTGCACGCAAGCTCTCTCCTTATTGATTTGGTGCGTGTACAAATGAACCACCAATAAATCAATGTAGATTTTTGTACGTTAAGTCAACGAAGCACATACGCTGGCAGCCATCTTTGCGTGTGCACGCTACACCATTAAAGGGATTCGTATGTGCATTTGCGTTTAGCATGAATATTCAAATCTTCGTATGTATCACTCATCTTTCTTCTGTACACTTATTTGCTTGCTTGTTTAAACATACATTAGGCCTATATTGGCAAACGGAAATGCACAAAAACACGCGTAGACACGCGCGCATATACTCACACGTGAAATAATTTCAGATAATGTGTGTTGTGTGCATGCGTGCGTGTGCTGTGCGTACATCGTGCTTGAAAGACATGCGTGTCTTCGTAACTGTTTGTTTATGCGTGCGTGCGTTTGCACGAGCAGACTCAAATATAACCGCGCATTCGCTCTACAGTACAGCCACGTCAGCTCTCCTTTTAGAATGGTTATTTGCGGAATAATAATGGTCTTTACTTGCAATTACAATAAATACTTTTTATTATGAATCAATACGCCAAGTCGTTACTGATATGTCCTATACGCTCTTTTTAATTCATATTTGATTATTAATCATTGCGCGATTAGCATTGTTCAAGTGCTCCTTCGTTTTTTTAAATGATCATTTGCTCATTCATTCATTCATTCATTCATTCATTCATTCATTCATTCATTCATTCATTCATTCATTCATTCATTCATTCATTCATTCATTCATTGACCATTGTTTTCAAATTTTTTTCAACAAATAATTCCTTCATTGTTAACAAGTTAATCAGGATAACTTTTTCAGTTTAATTTAAATGTTTATAACAGAAATTCATAAAAATGGTTTAATATCTCAATTATCCATCGCCTTGTCAGCAAATTAATATCCATATGACTGACGATTTTGTATTTTATTTCATTTCAACTTCAATACTAACTCGTTCATTAAATCAATTTGTTGCCTAACTTTCATTTTAACCAACTAGCGTTTTAACAATCAATCAACCTATGCAATCATCCACAAATCTATCGGTTTCATTTATCAGTAAGTATTATCATAAAACTGTATTATATGGAAACTTTTTTTAATTCAGTTCACAATTTCAATTAATTACTTTCACAATGAATTTTTTGTTTGCTGTTTCCCAGATATTTAACTTAATTAATTTGCTTCAATTATTGGCCGAGGCAGGTGTTCCTCTGTGTTCTTCATAATTGAATTGTGTATGTTTGCATTAGGAAAAATCTTAAGTCAAGCTGTTTTTACTCTTTTAGATGTTTTTGCCTTCAACATTTTGTTTGTTTTTGTTCGTTTATTTGTTTGTTTTTGCATGTTTGTTTTGATTGTTTTTGTTTGTTTTGTTTGTGTGTTTATTTTTGTTTGCTTGTTTATTTGTTTGTCTGACTGTCAAAAAATGCCTTTAGTACATTTAAACTTGAATAAAAGAAAATAATTTTGGCAAATTAAAAAGGCTTCTACTTTAATTTGAATATTTTTTAGAAATGTTTCGTTTTCATTTGAGAAAATTCTTCAATGTAGCGCAAAATATAGTCAATTAATTATCATTATTGCTGATTAAAAATGAGTCTTCGCCACCATCATCATCTTCATCATCCTGGCCATCATCACACTGATCATATCATTTTTAAATTTATCATCGGCATCATCTTCATCCTATTCACCATCATCACTATCTTCACGGCTTCCATCATTTTCAGCATCTTCATCGTATATTCACTTTTTTAAATCTAACTAGTAGCTTAAAAGCCAATCTTTTTCATACATGCGCATTCGTTGTTAAAATTGTTTAAATGGTTCTTCAAAAACGATCATTAACAGCATTTATAAATTTATTCACAACTGCTGTGTCATCCGTCAGAAGGTGCCTTGGATATATTCTCAATTCTTATGCAGGCTTCTATTACCGTGGCCAGCCATTCACATCCACGTACTCCCAATTAAGCAATGTCCAAATTAATGCTCTGTGTGATTTGCACAGATTTCAAAAATTTTGTAGTGTGAACATGGTAAGAAGTGAATTTTAAATATCATTCTCAGGTTAAAGTAATTTTCAAACAATTCATTCATATATTTTATTTGCTAGTTTAATGAGTTTTTTAACATTTTTATTCATGTGAAATAGTTTGTGAGTCAATTTATTTAGTCTACCTATCTAACTGTTCTTGTTTTTCCACGGTTACATGTATTTAAAAATTAGTTTTCATACGATTATTTAATTATTATTTTATGAAATTTCAAATTCAAACTTAACGCTCTAAACTTATTCATTCGTTTATTCATTAACATGTTCATTTATTTTCAGATACTTTGTTGAATTTTCAAAAACTTTAAATTCTCAAAGCAGACGCCCACGCATTTCATCCGCTGCTTTCATATCTGCCCTCAGGCAAGCCCAATATCAACTCGGTTTAGTGGCTACATACGAGTTTCCAACTCGTTTTCAACATAGCATGTGTCTTTTCTGTGTGTGTGAGCGAACATTTGAAAAACCTGTGGTACATCTGCATAGAACACACACACACACAAACACACACACAAA